AATATCAAAACCCCTGTTTCGGGAAGTTAAAGATTACATTCAAGAGCTCTTAGCTAAAGGGTGGATAGTGAAGTCAAAGTCTCCTTATTTGGCTCCCGTTGTGTGCGTCCGCAAGAGGGATGGCTCACTTCGACTTTGCATAGATTATCGCCTGCTGAACCAGAAAACTGTTCCAGACAGACACCCACTGCCTAGGATCCAAGACTTAATTGACACTCTAGGCGGACATTCTTGGTTTAGCATCCTGGACCAAGGCAAAGCCTACCACCAGGGTTTTATGGCCGAGGGGTCTAGACGTCTTACTGCCTTTATAACACCAAGGGGGCTATCCAACGCTCCTGCGGCAATTTCAAAGGAGCATGGAAGAGATGTTAGATTCACTCAGGGATGAATGTTGTATTCTCTACTTGGACGATGTCCTTTGTTATGCAAAGACTTTTGAAGAACACGTAGAAGGGGTCCGCAATGTCTTAAGAGCACTCCAGCGGCACGGGGTAAAGCTGAGGCCAGGAAAGTGTGAACTATTCCGCCAGGAAGTGAGGTATGTGGGCCGCCTTGTATCTGCAGAGGGGGTGAGAATCGACCCAAAAGACCTTGAAGCTGTGCGGGCCCTGGGAGACAAGACCCCACAAACTGTTGGTGATGTCAGGAGGCTGCTGGGATTCCTCAGTTACTACCGCAGCTACATTCAGGATTTTGCACGAGTTGCTAAGCCTCTATATGATCTGCTACAAGTGAAGTCTGAGATGACGCGGGGCCAGCCCACGCAAAGGAAAACTAAAGGGCCCCAGCTGCCATCCAGGACGGCAGTAAGCTGGACGCGTAAACACCAAGACATTTTGGAACAGCTCATTGACATGCTTACGAGCCCACCAGTTTTGGCATACCCTGATTTTGACTCCCCATTTGTACTCCACACAGATGCTTCGGAACAGGGCCTTGGGGCAGTCCTATACCAAGACCAAGGTGGAAAACTGAGAGTTATTGGATACGGTTCCAGAACATTAACAACAGCAGAGTGAAATTACAGGTTGCACAGTGGAAAATTGGAATTCCTCGCGCTTAAGTGGGCAGTGTGCGAAAAGTTCAGAGATTATCTATACTATGCACCTCACTTCACAGTGTATACCGACAACAATCCTCTGACATATGTGATGAGCACAGCAAAACTGAATGCGGTCAGTCACCGCTGGGTTGGGGAGCTGTCCGACTTTCGCTTTGACATAAAATACTGACCAGGGAAGTTGAATGTGGATGCTGACATTCTATCCCGTAGCCCACTTGACATCAAGGAGTTTATCGCAGGATGCAGAAAGGAGCTGTCCCAGGACGTTGTGCGTGCCACTTGGCATGGGAGTGGTGCAGCCCAACAGAAGGATGTTGCCTGGATGGCCGCTCTTAACATATCCACGGACGACACCCGAGAGCCTTATCAACCCTTATCAACAATCAGCCACGATGAGCTAGCCAAGGCGCAACAATAGGGAGCATAACCTCTGGCTTCCCCTTGGAACTCGTATGCATCGACTACCTGCATCTCGAACCCAGCAAAGGAGGATACGAATATATTTTGGTGGTAGTAGATAATTTCACCAGGTTTGCCCAGGTGTATCCTACTAAGAACAAATCTGGGCGGACAGCAGCTGAACGTATCTTCAACGATTTCATACCTCGTTTCGGATATCCGGCCAGGTTACACCATGACCAAGGTCGTGAGTTCGTTCGAAAATGAGCTTTTTCGAACCCTACGACAGCTGACTGGAGTCGGCCACTCAAGGATATCCCCTTATCACCCGCAAGGCAACCCCGCCGAGCGATTTAATTGGACGCTGTTGCAGATGTTGCGAACACTTAAAGAGGAGCAAAAGGAAAGGTGGAAAGATCATCTTCAACAGGTCGTGCATGCATACAACTGCACCAGGCACAAATCCACGGGGTACTCACCATTCTTTCTTTTGTATGGGCGGCACCCCCGTCTCCCAGTGGACCTGCTGTTTGGTCTGAAGGGCGAAGAAGAAAACGTGTCACACCAGAGTTATGCAGAAAAATGGGCCAGGAGAATGGCGGAGGCCTACTGTATAGCCTGTGAAAACAGTAACCGAGCAAGCACAAGAAGAAAGTTATATTATGACCAGAGGATGAAAGGAGTAGTTTTGCACCCAGGTGACAGAGTCCTCGTAAGGAACCTGAGTGAGCGGGGAGGTCCCGGCAAGTTAAGAGCATACTGGGAGAAGACTATTTACCTAGTCAAAGAACAAGTGTCTGATAACCCCGTATACATAATTTACCCAGAAGCTGGAGACAGCCGTAAGACAAGAACTCTCCATCGGAATCTGCTCCTGCAAGTAAATGATCTACCTACAGAACCACTGCAATGTCCAGTTAAGCGCACTGGTGGGAAACAACTGGAACCCAGAAACAGGAAAGCGAAAAGAGATGAAAGACCACAGACATATACTGAGGACACAAGCGTTTCAGATGATGAGGAAGAGTCAGCAGG